TTTTTGTCAAAGCATATCAAGCACAGGTTTCACACAAGCATATGTAATTATACAACATAATATCTTAAAAATAAATGCTTATTTCAAGAGACTCCTTTATTATTATCCTATTTTCAAATTTCATGACTAATTTTCCTTATTAAAATTTAAAGGGCAACCCAGAGTTTTAGTTATTCGACAAGTGTGCCCTGAAGTAGAAAAGGTTGAGAAACACTGGTCTAGAGTCCCATTTCATTTATATTGTGTGCTTAGTTATGATTTGATCATTTTATATCAGAGACTTCAATTTTTTTTTTTTTAAATAAGTCATGTTTTAAATAAGGTTGTGAATTTAAAGCATAAAGTACCAATGTACAATTCAAGAAAGCTTTAATGATAAAAAAATTAAAAACTCTTAACACCAAAAAAAAAAAAAAAAAAAATATAGTGGAAGTCCAAGAAACATCAGACATTCAGAAAAAAAAGCAACAAGTAATTTTCTAGAAAGCCTAGACTATGATTTTAAAAGAATTATGGAACAAACAAAAAAAAAGAAACTAACAATAAAACTTAAAGAATGAAAGGTTTATTGTTTCTGCAGGATGAAATACAGTCCTATTGATAATATTTTCTGAAAGAATTTCGATTATTTTTTATTATTGTACAAGTATTTTTTTAATTTTTATTTTTAAAGTGATCAATTTCTGTCTAGATTTGAAAGGATTATAAATCAAACTTTTTCAAATAAATGCATGTGTGCACATGAGTATATGAGATTGGATACAAAGCAAATTTTTGTTAAGTTCTTCTATCACAGGTTTGTTTTATTTTTGCTATAACCATTTTTAATATATTTTATTATTTTTAAATATAAAAAAAGAATTTCAGATGGGCAAACATTTCATTCAGATGTACAAATTCATGCAACAAGATAGAGATAAAAGTATGTGAGATGTATTTGTGCATAGATTTTCAAAAGGGCACTTTATTATTTCAAGTGATATTGAAAAGACAACACTACTTTCTTTTATTTTGAAGTTTCTCTAATATTTTATTAAGCTTTATTGCCTTTAATGAATAACAAAATAAACATTGCTTGTTATTTTTATCAGTATTTATGTATCATTTTGTATGGTCAATATTAATTTTCAAATCTAAATTAGTCTCCCTCCTGTTTGAAGAGTCCCTCTCTGATTGACCATGTCTTCAGGGATGTAGCCTTACTCACCATGCTTTGCCAATTGTGGGTTGGTGAGGCTATTTAACCCATAGTTGGAGGTTAGGAATTCAAAGTTGTCCCTCTCCTAGATTACCACCCAAGGCTATAGGACTCATTCTCTCCTGCTATGATAGATTCATACGTTTCCCAAGGGTATTAATTTTCAAAGGTTGGTATTATTTATGGGTTGACTAATTTCATTTTATGTTAGCTCAATAATAGTATTTGTTAGAAAATGTATTCATCAAGCATTGTTTTGCTCAGACTAATATCCTCATTTTGCTTGTTAACCTTACCATAGTGGGCTTTCTTCAGATGCTTATCATAGTTGGTAACCTTCTAGGAATTTCTAATTGGACCTCTGAAGGTAAACAACTATAACAAACATGTGAAGAAAGGCCAGTGATAATTACCTGGCCTCCCCATTAAAGCAGGATGTGATACAAGGTCGTTTTTACATAGGGTGAACCATACACGTGCATATGGGTCAAGGACATTTTTTGTCCTTGGCCCATATGCATGGACTATCATGCTGGCATCAATATTACACAGATACCATCTCTCTGAGTGCAATGTAGAAGGGTTGGAATACCTGCGACTGGGCACCTTCTACCATCTAAAATGAGGAGGACTGTTTTACTCCACTTCTGGTCAAAAGTGAACTCCTGTGTCAGGTAAAAGGACAGTGGGTATAATAGTCAAAATGTTGTAATGATAATAACCAAGACAAAGTTAATAGTCAGTGTGCAATAATAATTTTTTATGTTAAAAATTCAAACAAAATCTATTTTGCTATAAATGATTTGCAAAAATCAAAACATTTCAGAAACTTCAAAACAAAAAATATGCACATCTCTAATATCACGTGTGGGTGTGTGTGTGTGTGCTATCACAGCAAAATTCTTTATTTTTTTTGCCAAGTTATATGGTTCTACATTGAGGAATCTCAGAATTGCTTCTGCTTGGTGTTCAAATAAACAGTCACCGATAGAAGATTCTAAAATTCTGAGAAAGAACAAAAATAAATTTCTTCAAAAGTATAAACAGCACAAAAAGGATTAGCCAAAGAAGGAATTCATAAAATACTTTATATGAAACAACATAAAATGTAAGAGCGAGATTTGTTTTTTATGATAGGAGTTAAATATTTTAATATTACCATATTGCAAGTCTAAAAAATTTTGAATTCTTGCACTTATTGACATCAAGAGAAATAAATAGAAAGCATAATCACAGATGAAACTTAACCTGTTGCATTTGAAATATGCTTAAAAAAAAATTTAAAAAAAATAAAATAATCTTTTATAGCAAAAATTATTTTAAAATTTAAATTTATTACTACCTTAACCCTTTTTACACATAATTTGATAGCTTTTTTAGACTTAACAAAATATAACTGTCTTTAACATATATGTGATATTGAAAAAAAAAAAATTGAAACAAGGAGGTGCTGATAAGTTCTCAGTCCAACCCTCTTCCCAAAATCTTATCAAATAACTAAATTTTCATTTTGGTAATTTTGAATCACTAATTTGCCTTTTCAGTAGCATCACATAAATAAATGCTAACAGCTGAAATTTTCAAGATATAAGTTTATCTCATTTAAAAAAATATGTCTCATTCATGAATTTTAGAATAAAAAATTACTAATCAAAACATTGGTAAATTTTGAATTTCTTCAGATAAAAACAAAAATGCATTTTTGTTGGTGGATAATCATAAATAATAGTCTAAGATGACTTGAATTACAATCAATACTAATAATACAACATTTATTTTTTGGAAAAGTAAAGAAAAGGAAAGAAAACTATAATATTTATGACTGAAAGGATTCTTATTTTTAAAATAAGTAAACAATTAACAGCAAGATTTAAACTATGTGGTTGTATATCTACATTATAGTTTAATTCTTACATTATAGTAATTTTTTGCATTATACTATCATATATGATGAAATGACCAATATGAATTATCTGATTGATTAATTGTTTTCTACGGCATAACTCATTGCAGATTAGTTAAAACCAAAAAATAAGATTGTAAATTTTCTTTTTTCCAAGATAAAAATGATTTAATGAGACAAGTCTTACTAATTAACCTATAGCTGGGAGGAGAATTTGATAAACAAGAAATTATAATGTGGAGGATCAATTCTATATTATAAACATAAACTGATCCCCCACTTTGTGGCCACAGGTGTTTCTATGCATTTCTATTCCAGAGAATGTAAATAAATCTAAAAGTCATGCCTGTGCAGCTAACCAGTATTCAACTGATTCATTCATTTTTATCAATCCACTGCAGGTAAAGCCAAAAAAAAGTTTTTTTTAGATTGTAAGAACTTTATTTTTGGAAATAATGGTTTAGTGATAAAGGTCTTATTAATTAACACAGTAGAGGAGGTGGATTCATACCTTTTTCCAAGGGTATTTGTATATAAGTGAATATAATGAAATCAATGAGAATTGGCACTTGGCTTTTTGATTAAAAATTCTGAGCTATTACACCATCTATACATCCAATTAGATTTTTAAATGTTTTTATTCTGTTGCCAACATTTTGTTCAGTAAGATCATCATCAGAAAAACTGAAAGATTTTTAAAAATTTTATTAATTGTTAAATTTTCAAATTAACTGGGTCATTTCTAAATAATAAACCTGGTAATAATATTTCCTTAATTGTTCTGATGATGACTGAACGAAATGTTGGCAATAGAATAAAAGAAAACTTAACATCCAACTGGTTTTTATATATTCCATCTTATATTCTACCATTTATGCATATTATGGTATAATGTACATCCTAATGGTAGCAATTACTTTTATGAAGACTGTTATCACTTTAAGTCATATTTATTATTAGCTATTTCAGATAGTAAAATAGGAAAAGTTTGAAATTTAGTTTTTGTAGCTGATGGAAGCTTTGACCAATTTTTATTTATTTCATGTGATGTCAAAAAGTATTAGAATCTCATCTTCAGTAAAATCCATTTTCTTTTCTCCTTACAATATGGTAATTTATAAACACTGATCTTAAATTTGTTCAACTAATTTTTTCTCTCTCAATTTCTTTTCTTTTTCTCCAAAAATGCTTATTCCATGAAATATGATATGCAGTCATTTCTGCCATATTGACTGTGCAAACCAAAATAAAAATGAAAAAAAAGGAGTAGATACAGAATTGCAAAATTATCACCTCAAAATTCTTAAAGATAATAATTTGCCAAACAAAAAAGAATTTATTTGAAATTATTCTAATTGCTCAAATTAAGGCTTCTTTTATGTCTAATATAGATAACCTGAACATTTTTTTGTCTAAGAAAAAAAAAGAAGAGAAACTGAGGAATTAAAAAATGTGTAATCATTTACAAAACAATGAATTTGATAAATTAAAAATAACTGAACAAATTTATTTAAATTACATTTGCAAGTCATTTAAAATATTTTGGAGTAATTTTTAATAGATCATTTCCAGGCTAAATTTAGCAGTTTTAAGAGCCAATACATATTAAAATTTTTCAAGTAATGTTTCCATACTGATGAACTGTCTTAACTCACATTAAAATACATTTAATAGCAGAAATAACAGCATTTAAAGAAAAGCACAAAAATAACCTATCTAATCAAATAAGGAGAAAGTGTGTGTGTGTGTGTCTGTGTGTGTCTGTAGCATGTATGTATGGTAACAGAAAGCAGCAACAACAAAAGAAAATTGAACAGCCTCACTGTGAGGTGCCTTTTTTTTTTTTTTTAATTTTCTTTCACTTTTTTTTTTAAAATCATGGTGGTGAGGGTTTTATACCTTCATCATTGCTGTAACAGTCGTGACAGTGTAACTTGTGCCCTCTGACACGAACGTCTGCACCCTGGTAGCCATTACCAAGCTGGACATTACAAACACAGCAACGGAAGCACTTGACATGGTAATAGAGGCTGAGGGATTCAATGACCATAGCAGCACCAGACCCTGCACACCGAAGATAAAAAGAAAAGAAAATTATAATTATGTAATGAATATATTTTAATTAAGAGCAATTTTAAGTGGTAAAATAGTCAAAGAGATGTATTATATGAAGCTATCTGTAATTTTATTATTTGTAATGGTGAAATTAGCCGTTTCCATACAGGAAACATTCAGCATTCAATGAGTGAACAGTTAGTGTTATTGTTAGTTGAAATTTATAAGTTCTTTATTGTTTAAGAATTTGTCAGGAAATTAGACTTCTCAAGTCCACTGTTATCACTCTTTTGAGTATTGATAGGAGTTTCCTTCCAAACCTTTTGTTTAGGGTAATGTGGAATGTCAGCATCTTGATCATATTTTTGCTTCCAGTTATATGTGCTACCCATTTTTGTTGTTATTGCTGATAGAAGTCTTCAAGTGATGTAGTTCTTGTTATTTAGTAAAGTTCTTTGTGATTCTGTAGCACCAGTAATCTGATGAATGATTGTCTTCTTGAAAACCTAGAGGAATCTTTCACTTGAGGCCATTTTTAATCATTGATTTAAGAAAATAGTTGTATTTAGATGATAGGTTAGACATTTCATTCTTCTTTTAATCATTTCATACCAAGCAAGGCAATAAAGTCACTAAGATGCAGGGGGGCACTAAATGTTAGAGAATATGAGAAAAAAAATACTGTTAAGGAGAGAGAACAATAAAGGAACAAAAATTAAGACAGAAGATAATAATTAACACTGCATTTAAAATTTTTGAAGATCAAAGTTGAGTGAGAGGAGAATGATCCACAAACAAGGAATATTTCTGAATGAATTGTATATCATGCATGACATACTGTATATATTTGCCTATCATGCTGATTTTGAAGCTAATTTAATGGGGTCACATCATACATGAGATATAAAATTAGCATATATACTGCTGGCCCCGGCTACTCTGTTGACCAACGTATACATCCATTTACTGTAGTCAAAAAGTACAGCTGTATTTAAAATAAACATGATTTTGATAAAAATGATGTTTTACTTAGCTGTATCCAATAAAAATGCATGTAATATTCACACATTAGTATCGTACTATAAAATACAAACATAGCAAATATGCATCTTTTCCATTGTTCAGGTTTATAAGATGTTTAGCTGTTTTTTGTTCAGCTGTTTATGGTTGTATGCATTTACACAAGTATAACATTATTAATGATACTTTTTATAATTCTCTTACTTTTTAACATTTTAACTAAAGATATTTTAACTAAAAGGAAGATGGGATAAAATCATTTTTAACTTATTTAACTAGAAGATGGGATAAAGAGATAGAGGAAAAGAGGTTAGTCTATTGTAATTTGGTCTCTTCAAAAAGGAACTCATATGATACACGAGATACATGATAAAATCATTTTAACTTATTTAACTAGAAGATGGGATAAAGAGATAGAGGAAAAGAGGTTAGTCTATTGTAATTTGGTCTCTTCAAAAAGGAACTCATATGATACACGAGATACATGATAAAATCATTTTTAACTTATTTAACTAGAAGATGGGATAAAGAGATAGAGGAAAAGAGGTTAGTCTATTGTAATTTGGTCTCTCAAAAAGGAACATCGAAGATGGGATAAAGAGATGAGAGGAAAAGAGGTTAGTCTATTGTAATTTGGTCTCTTCAAAAAGGAACTATACACAGATAAAATCATTTTTAACTTATTTAACTAGAAGATGGGATAAAGAGATAGAGGAAAAGAGGTTAGTCTATTGTAATTTGGTCTCTCAAAAAAGGAACTCACATGATACACAAGATACATGATAAAATCATTTTTATAAGTGAAAATTTGGGGTTGTACGATACAAAAGATTGTACATTACATGGGTACATACAGTACATATCAAAGTTTAGATCTTTGTTTTTTGCTTTTAACCATTTTACCCCAAGCAAGGTGATGCCACAAGGACACAGGGTGTTACGGGGAGTGAAAGATAATGAGAAAACTTTAATGAGGAAAAAGACAATAAAGGAACAGAATTCAAGAAAACAGAAGATGGCAATTGATGTTGCATTTAAATTTTTGAAGATTGTAGTTGGCAGAGAAGAAAAAAATCAGAAGGGATTTCCCACAGTGGAGAAGTATGAGAAAAGAAACTATTAAAATAAAATTGATGGTTGCATCTAGCTTATTCAACAGTAAAATAGTGAGACCTAGTTGCCAATCTAGTAGCACACTTAAATTCATACAGTCAAGGCACTAAGGGGAACAGCTCATCAGAACAATTGCCATGAAAAGATTTCTTGAAATGACAGAGGGAAGCCATATCATGTTGGTGAGAAAGTTACTGAAGATGAGATACCAGGTCAAGATTGATTACATTACAGACACTTCTTTGAATTTTGTCAAGAATCTCATATAGCAGAAACACCAGACCAGATATGGAAACAGCATTCAATGCACAGACAAATGGTATATTTATAAATGTGCATGATGGATTCTAACAAGAAAAATTTTCTGGTACAACACAGTGAACCAACTTTCCTAGCAGTAGATGTAGTAATTGATATCTTGCAATTGTAACAATAGAACATGTCAGGTTACCTCCACCTAATTTTTTAAACTACTCCTAGGAGTCGCTCTCAAAACTATGAAAAAGACAGTGACATTCTGTCATCCTCTTTTTTCCTTTTTCACCCAGAGACAGCAAGATGTAGGTTGAACATGGAAAACACATTCCCCACTGATGAATGTACATGCATATACACACCTTTCACTTCATTTTATCTAGTACTTTCTCCTACACCACACACACACACACACACACACATAATTCACTAGTTTAAATGTTTTCTTCATTCATGTTCATTGTTCGGTAACAAGCAACAATATTCTATTGTTTATGTATATCTTTGTTTTGTTAATACATACATTATCATTTGTTTGTATATATATATTGGTTCTTGTTATTTCTTTACATTTCTTTACACAGTCTCACATCACAAGTCTGCCATGTTTGTTGTGAGTATTTCAGGAGACACACATGTTTATATTTCAATGCATAAACTGGCCTGCAACAAACTAAAAGAAAAAGAGAGAGCTTGCATCCTTCCTTTTATAGTCCTGGGCAATACCACTTATCTGGAGTCTTGGCAGGCCATGTTTGTTGTGGGTATTTCAGAAGACACACGTGTTTATCTCTCAATGCATACACCGGCCTGCCTGCGACAAACTCTTAGCAAATAATTCTTTAATTTATAATTAAAATATACTTGTTAAATCCAGTTAAGAAAAGCAGAATTTTGAATTTGTGATTAAAGACTGAATATTTACTTGAAGCAGCTTGGTTGGCACAACTTTACTATTACAGATGTGAATATGTGTCCAGGTCAATCAAACAGATTTTCACTGGCTGATCAGCTTTTACCCCTTTTTGGTTGTAGTTCAATTTCTGTTTGTATTTTACAAAACTGGAAAAATGCCAATGCACATCCAAAAGTGAAAATGAAGGCAAGACAACATGGAGAGAAAAGTCTTAAATATAGCCATTTTGAGATCTCTTCTATGTGCTGTGTCTCTTCAGGACATGAGCAAGCATAGTTCTCCACAAATTTCTGTCCCTTGTGGCTTTTACCAGAATTTCTTCTTTTGGCAAGTCTATAGCTACCATATTCCACCGATTCACACAAGCTCAGATAGGTGGATTGCTGCCTTCCTCTATCTTTCTTACACTCAATATGTCCTGTGAGTTCTACATTTTCCAAGCCCTCTTTCCTCATTGTGTCCAAGATATTTCAGCTTTCTTTTCCCAATTCTGAGTATAAGTGTTCTTTTTGTTTAAGATTTCCTCATTATATACTCATTCTGTCCAAGTAAATCTTAGTATTCTTCTATAGAACCACATCATTTTGTGAAACAGATAAGAAATCTGTTGATTCCGATAAACAGGGTTTTTTATTCATGCACTATTTGTGGATAGGTGAGTGACATTTGGGACATCTACATGCTATTTCTGTTTTCTCTTATGGCAGACTAACAGGACAGATCTTCCCTTTGGCCACCAAGAATTCTGTATCTCTCCAACACATTTTCTTCCATTGCTTCCTGAATCTACCCTGTGACTAAAATGTGGGCTGAATATATAAGTCTATGATGGATCAAACAGTAGTTTCCTCTACAAAGGGGGATGCAAGTTCAATAGCTGTTGGAGGACACATTTTCTTTACTTAGATTTCTCAAATGTGCAAACTGAGAGATGTAATACATACAATTTAATAAATACAAATGGGGTTCTATTCAAATAAGTAGTGTCCACTATAGTAACGTTTGAAGTAATAAAAATGTCAGATTAGAAATAAATTCCTTAATTCTTTAGAAATTGCTTTATTTAAATTTTGGATACAAAACTGAGCAGATATGGGCTCTTGAGAAAAATAATCTGTTTGAAAAGAAGGTGCTTTCCTTAAATAAGGTAAAAAGAGCATTGCTTACTGTGAAGTAATTCATGGCCAAGCAGTAACGCATGACAGATTAAATGGTAATTTCTCCTACACAGGAGGACACAAGGTTCTATCCTTGCTGGAGGACACATTTTCTTGACTCAGATTTCTTGAATGTGCAGGTTGATAGACATAATACACACTGTTTAATGAATAAACACGGGGCTTCTATTTCAAATAAGAAATTTTCACTATCTATAATAGAGTTTGAAGTAATAAAAAAGTCCATGATCACAATTCCCTCCCTTCTGACTAAGTGGTACTTGATCCCAAAACTTTTTTCTTTATGCATTTTATTTTATTTTCCCTACTTCTGGTGACTGCTTTGAAACTTTCACATCTTGATATTACTGGTGATGCTGTCATAAAACCTGCCAGTTGCTCCAGTCCCAGATAAAATCATTTACAATTCACTTGACTACATGACAATCCTAATTAATCGAGTGGAGACCCATTGTGTCCTACAGAGGAGTCAGACAGAAATATCTAAACTTTAAAATAAAGATAGTTCCATTAATCAATAAACAAATATAGTACTTACCAAGCTCCTTTGAACAGTGAGAACATTTTTCAGTGCCACAAACTGCAACTTGTTCATTCAATTCACTGCTACTACTAGCAGTTGACTTTCCAGAATGCTTTGATGAGGTGGAGTCATCCCTTTGGTGGGAAATCAGCATGGTGTTTGAATTAGGATCAAGAGCCTGGTTTGACAGAGAACCAGTGCTCCTGGGGCTCACACTGTCCACAGCAGACAAGCTTTCATAGCCTTCAGAAGCTGTATTGTTGTCCCCATAACTGTCAGGAGTTCTTACATTTGAAGGAGAGTTCAAACTGCGAGGACTCACTGAGCTGCCATAGGAAGCATATGAAGCTCTGGGATTGGTCTGGTTTAAGGTTTCAGGGGAAGCAGAAGGGCGAACTGATCCATTTGGTGAACCCCTTGATGCACGGTCATAAGTAGGATACTTGGGTAATGGCTGATTAAAGCCTTTCTGGGAAGCTGCAGGTAAATCTCGCCAAAGATTGGGACTTTCAGCAGGTTGGATTGGATAATTTACCTGTTTAGAGTAATCATCATGCAAAGGACCTTTGTTTTGGGGGTTGCGCATTTCAGCAAATCTTCGCCTTTCTGCTTCCTCTACGACCCAATGAACCTGCGTGCTGGACTGTATCTCTTGCTGTCTTAACATTGGCTGGCGAAAACCTTGAGATTTGTTCACTGGCTTTCTCTCTAATTCATTATTACGATCCGAAACAATCCACTCTGCTGAATCTCTGTGCTTGGCCTTGGGAACAGCATTCAATGAACGTAACTCTGTCTTGCTTGGTGGCTCTCGTGAGATGGGTGACATCCGCTGAGAAGAAGTGGGGCTTATTTCTGGTCTTTGCTGTAGAGGAGTTGCCTTGCGATTCATTGCTAACAAATCCTCTCGTGTGAATTTCTGTGAGTGTCTAACTTCTTCCTCGGGTTTGTCAAATCGCGAAATAACAGACTCCATTTTTCCAGACAAGACTGGCTTCTTTTGGTGAGTTATTTGAACTGAGCTATATGGTTTTGTGAAGACACCTACAAAAGAAGTGGAGACAAAAAAAATAAAATTAATGTGAAATCCATGTAAATAAAATATGTCAAAAAGTACAGGGCTGTTGCAGAGACAAATTTGTGTTAAAAAAATTTAGCATTTAGCCTTAAACTATCAAAGGCCGCCAATATTTTAAATTTCCAGTACCTCTTTGCTTTAATAGTTTTTTTTCTTTCTTGTATTTCTTCCTTTATTGCATTTTGTTAAAATAAAACCTTGTAAAAAATACTACAATTGATAAAAGCCCTGAAGAGCATAGTAACCAAACAATTTTAAATCAGAATAAAAGTAATTCTAAAAAACATTTTGAACAGAATAGGAAAATTTACATAGTTTAGATTGATTTTGTGAAAGCCACTGCAAAAAAGCAAGAAAATTTGTTTAGCATTACACAGTGAACCAACTTTCCTAGCCACAGACCTATCAATTGATTTAATATAATCATTCCACTTCATGTTGGTGGAAAATGTGAGATTGAGAAGGTGTAATGAATTGCTCTCCTGGAGTTTAGCATCAGCCATGTTGATGGAAGGCGAAAATGGTTCTTTAAGATGACTAAAAGATAGCAGTTTCATTTTGGAGGCATTAAAATTTACCATAAAAGTAGATGCAAAATAAAAAATAAAAAAAAACCTTTAGCATCAATTTGCATGTGTTTCCTTCATGTCCCAAGACTAAAATGGTTGATCTAAAAAAAAGGACCAATAACATTGCAGATTCTTCTTTGTATTTTATCAATAAAAAAAAAATCTAAATACATAACAGAAGCACCGGATCACATGTGATAGCAATATTCAATACATGGACAAATGGTAGACTTATAAATATGAAATAGATTCTAGTTTGAAAAATTGTCTAGCATAACACAATGAACCAACTTTTCTAGCAGCAGACCTAGGAACTGATTCAATTGATTATATTCAATATAATCTTTCCACTTCATATCAGTGAAAAATGTTAGCCCAAGAAGGTGGAGGTTAGCATCAGCCATACTGATAGAAAACAAAAAAAAGTCCTCTCAGTTGAAATTTACTAAAACAATATGTAATCTATGATCAATGCTACTTACTTGTGCCTCTGGTAGGTTGAGAAGTTGTATAACTTTGGTTGTTGTACTGTGAAGTTGGTGACACCTTTACTGTTTCAGAACTGACTGCAGCTTGATAAGGTTGGGGAGATGGCTGATATCTCTGTGGGGCCTGCACCGGAGCCACTATTTGTTTCTGTAGCTGTTTCAGTCGAACCTTCTCTTCTTCCAACTGTTTCATTTGTTCCTGCTGTTGATACTGTCTCAACTGCTCTTCTTTTTTCAACTGCTCAGTTTTTATTCTTAATTGTTCCTCTTGCTGAAGTTTCTTTTGCTCAGCAATTTGTTGTTCTTGTTGAAGCCGTCTTCGATTTTCTTCGATTTCCTGCTGTGCTAGTTCCAATTCTCTCTTCTTCTGGGCCAGTTTCTCCTAAAATTAAATGAAAATGTCCCAAAAGTATTGAAACATCAGCTATACCAGTGCAGTTACTGCTCTAACCCCATAAATGCCAGCACTCATTTTGCTTTTGAAGGTAGTCAGCCACTATAAAAAGTTTTACTAAATCTTTTCTATAATAAAGAGGAGTCATCTTGTTTATGTGTTTGAGACAAACTCAAAAATTACAATATTTAGGACCTTAAAACTATGTATATTTTTATTCAGTATGTTCCAAGGAAAGTTTTGATAAATAACTTATTTCTGTATTTTTTATGTAAACAAAGATATTTGTAAATTTAAACAAATAGCATTAAAAAAATATATATAAAAAGCAAAACTTATGCCAACATTTTATTTTATACTATTTACATTATTCAGACTATTGTCCTCATCTTTGTTGCCATATTTATCACATTTCAGCCATTGTACGCTCCAACCTTCTTCAGGTGGTTGTAATGTCAACCTGAACTCTTTATTTCGTTCACTAGAGTAAACCGTTCTAGTTCCATGTACCATACCTAATAGATGCCAGTTATCAGTTATCTCCTATTAATTCACCTCTCCAAGTTCTCCACTGCCTTAATAAGGTATTGAACTGATACTGTCACATGGCACAGTGGATAAAGGCGTTGGTTAGATCCAGTGACAGTGTGAGTTCAATACCTGGTTAAGGCAGTGGAGAACTTGGAGAGGTGAATTAACAAGAAATAACTGATAACTGGCATCCATTAGACATGGTACATGGAACTGGAACAGTCTACTCCAGCAAGCGAAATAATGGGTTCAGTTTGACATTCCAACCACCTGAAGACGGCCGGAGAGTACAATGACTCAAATGTTGTGATAAATATGGCAACAAAGATGAGGATAATAGTCCGAATAATGTAAAGAGTGTACATAATACCTCATCTTAGAAATATAGACAGATTTAATATTTTTTTTTTTAATTAATTCTCCCCAAGCAAGGCAATAACATCACTAAGATGCAAGGGGACTATTGGGAGTGAAAGAAAAGGAAAAAGACTTTAGAAGGAACTGGAAACCCAATGTTAAACAGAAAACAAAGGATAAATCTCTACTTATTCAAAAGACTGGAAAGGATTATGTACTGGATTATAGGTGAACCTATCTACTCATTCAATTTAACCTTACATCATTCAATTATCTTAAAAATAACTGATGACAAAGTTAACAAGTAAATAATGAATGAATGAATTGGAGAATATTCTACACTTTTATTCAATAAAGGATAATTTTAAAAAAAAAATCATCTTACTTATTATAAAACACAGATTGTGTGTGTGTGTGTGCGTGTCTGTACGTTTATATATTGGATCGGATTTCCTACATTTTTCAACCAATTTCAACAAAACTTCACAGGACTGTGTAAAATTACCCTGCGGTGGTTCTGACAGTGCCAAAAATTGGAAAAAACAATTGTTTTTGCACAAAATCAATTTGAAAACATGATAAAACATGATTCTGTCGCCAGAATGAAAGGGGGACAACTCATATCGAGTTATACTTATTATAAAACCCAGGTTGTTTGTGTGTGTGTGTGTGTTCCTTTATATATGGGATTGGATTTCCTACATTTTTCAACCGATTTCAACAAAGCTTCACTTTTTTTTGGCAGGTGGTGTTTCTTATTGCCTTGCACACTTTTTTCTTTATTTTTACATTCAGAATGCTTTAAAAATTCCATTTACAAGACAATTGTTTATAATAAAATGCTATTCAATGTTTTTGTTTGAGTTTGACCAATTCGTAAAAAAAAAAAAAAAAATAAAAAAATAAAATAAAATAAAACTAATTAAGACATGCGTGTCCGTCAACCTTAAACAATAATCTTTGTCAATTTTATTTTTCAGTCTTTATGATGGTCAATACTTGATCTATCACTTACTGTTACATCCCCGGGCAACGCCGGGCTCTACTGCTAGTTATTAATAAATTTTGTTATAAATACATTAGCAACTCCGAATAATGATGTTGTTATAATATAATAGACAAACAAATATTTATTTTGTGAGAAAAAGTTAAAATTATATCATGATGAATATTCATTATAATTCTTCATGAATTTGTACACTAGTTTTTTGTTTTTTTTAATGCCATGTCTCTTCAAGCTATAGATAATTATGACTCTGCAAAGATTACTTTTTCTTTATTATACTCCAATCATTTGTGAATATCTATGCTGATGATACAACAGGATATGTGTGCACCTCCAAAACTCTAGATTATCAGAGCCTGGCAAATGATCTCTCCTCTGACTTAGATCTAACAGCTCAGTGGGGCAATAACTGATCAGAAAATTTGTTGCTCACATTAAATATCTCGAAAACTAAACTAGTGACATTACATCATCACTGAGCAGACACAGAACTTTCATTGATCAAAATGAACAGATGTTCCCTCAAGATGGCCCAATGCGTTGAGTGCCTATTGAAACTTAAACTCAACTCAGACCTCGAGTGGAACTCATACATACGATCCATTGCTAAAGATGCTGGGAAAGTAGTCAGGTCACAGTACTGCTCCAGTAAGTACCCAACTCCTACTTATGGCCAAAGTTGGAATACTGCTGCCATATATACGCAGGAGCTGCCTAAGTCTTCACTTTCCCATCTTGATAGAATCCAAAAGCATTTCTCCATCATTGTGGGAGACAAATTATTTCCCCCCCTGCAATCCATTTCTCACAGATGAAACGTTCTATCATTATTTCTATGGAAGGTGTTCAGATGAACTACTTTCTTTAGTTTGACCAGTTCTAACCTTCATGCCTTAGACCTGCTATGCCACACACATTCTAGTGAACCGCCCTCATTCCCTTTGTATTTCATTGGTGAGATGCAAGTTCCACTTGAGCAGCTTCTTCCCACAAACTGCTGAGGATGCTCAAGAGGATGCTTCCCTGATTACTACAATATTAACCCCATTCAAGTCTAGAGTCAACTATTATCTTCCCCAACTATCCCCATAAACTATGTAACCCTCTGGTTTGAGTGGTTATCGTGCCTTATACAGAGTGAACATCATTGTGAAAAAAATTATCTGTGAATTGCCATGCATAGCATGGGGAGAAATATCAGATCCATGCCTTTACAAAGAGCATTTGCATGAAAGTGAACATATCAGACAAATCCTGAATTTGAACCCAACTGATTTTACTTAGGGGCTGATATCTGTTATACTATCTACATATGTACATTTCTGGTGTTAATTTGCTATAATAGATGGGCAACACCAGGTAGCCCTGCTTGTTATAAGCTATGTGAATACGTTATAAGGAAATAATCATTTTTAATACCAAACTCATGGAATAATATGCAATAAGTTGACCAATAAGCATTTTTCATCCTCTTATTGGGCTTGAGAGAATGAGAAACATTTTATTGAATTTATTCATTTTTATCTCTAAATATCATGTCCCTTCAAGGATGTAGGCAATCATAGATCTTCACAGATTCCTTTTCTTTAATATCTGAATCATCATGACTTCTTGAGAAAGATAATAGAGTAGTTTCCTGTTGCCTTCTCCACGGTTTAGAATTTTCCTTCTCTTAAATTTGAACTCCATTTACCAGCTCCACTTTCTGTGCCAATAATTTCTACACTGCCCACACTTTAAAGTTACAACCAAAATATTAAATGTATTTTTGTCTATGGCACCATCAAAATGTATAGCTTGTGAGGAGAGAGAAATAAAGACAGGATATGAGTATCTTACTAGTATTCATGATCTTTTAAATATTTTGAAAGGGTGACATTATTTAATAATTGTGATTAAAATAACAGAAAAAAATAGCAAATAGATTTATATTATAGTAAAGTACTTATACCTAATAGCCATTACTTTTACTTACAGAAGGGTGGCTGGAAGGACTTAATACAGGGTTCTACTTTCTAAAATCAAAAATAATGCTGCAAATAATACTAATCTTAAAAAAATAATAATACTAAATAATGCTCAAAACAAGTTTAATCAGTACAATTTAATGTTACATTAATATGTATAAAATTAATAATAAGATTGTTGATTTTAAAAAAAGTACCCATTTTAAATGAAGACCTGAGTTGTTTTTCTTTGTGATTTTCTCTGATGTTTGAGGGTGACAGTAAACTATTATTGTTTAAAAGACCTTGATTAAAATTAAAATGGGAAAGTCATGACTTTTTTCCTTTAACTTTTCTCCTATGAATTTTTACCCATAACTTTATTTCCATAATTAATTTTCCTATCACAATGTTTTACTCACAGAAGCACACAAGTGTTAAAATGAGCAACTTATATTTTGTACATGATCAATCTTCAGTTTAACATTTTAATATCTATTTTTTATAATTTCACTTTATTAATTTAATAAAAACAAATTTATATCAGAACAAGAATATACAACATGGAATTGTTATTAATAGCTTTTTGGTATAATTATGAACAAATTGAAAAAAATTAAATTTAAAATATTGGAATTAATTATTCTAAGAAAAAATTCAATTCAATTTAAAATAAAAAAAAATTCTAGCATTTATAGTATTGTTATAGTTCTAAAAGCAAAAATTTAATTCTATTTAAAATAAAAGGATTCTTTGGGAAAAGGGTGGAAAGTGTGAGATTGTCTAATATTCTAGAACAGGATTTTGTTTAAAGAAATAACTAAATTAACTCTTATTTTCATTTTAAAGTTTAAAACTGTAGTGAAAGCGATAATCAGTTACCCTGAAAAAAAAAGTTTGTGTTTTGTGTGCAATTTGCCAAAGAAAAATTACCAAAAAGTAGTCAGCAAAAATCTACATCAATGACTAGAAGCTATGCTAATGTTCTTCCCTCCCCTGAATGGCGTGACCATTCAGAAAATTCTCTCGGTGAACAGAAGTCGTTGTTTTTCGCTTATAAAAGGAGATGATTTTTTTGAGCTTGGTGGAACGAACACGCGTTGTTGTTGGTGAGAAGTGAAGGTTGGATGTGTGACCCCATATTGTTGTTTCTACGTTGTGTGTTGGACTGTTACGTCGGACTATCGTTTGAACTGCGATTTGGCTACAAGTGTTGCGGCCGAGAAACAGAAGAAATCTATTGCAGTTGCTACTATCAGTTGACAGTCTTTTCTTTACTACAACAAAAACTATTAAACATTTTTGGGAAGATGGCACTTGTTCCACAACATACATATATTCTCCAATTGGATGAAATCATTCATTCATTTATTCTGTTAGCACATTTTGCCCACTGTGGGCATTACTTCCCTTGATCTTACAATTGTGGTTCATGGTGTCATTCAAAGTAGAATAGTGTAATGGCTTGCTGTTTTTTTTTTTTCCCCAGGGATGTTAAGATTATTCCACCCTTCCTCTCAGAAGTTAGTGGCAAGACTTATAGTGTAGCAGGTGGTTTGAATTCAGAGTTTTCCTTCTCCTAGACTGGCGATAGTATACGGAGATCATGGATTGCCCAGATCCAAAGGAATACAGTGTATTAAATTTGTGGATGTCATGGCTGCAGGAATTGCCGGAAAGTTGTCAGTGTTGACAGCCAACTACCTTCAGGCTCCACTCCAGGTCTTCTGTGTGGATTTACTTCGATAGCCTTTTTTCTGGATTTAGTTCGGTAGTATTTTAAGCAAATATGGGCAAAGTCACTACAGTTTGTTAGTATGTGTTGTTTAGGTAGCCAGTCCATAGATTTACTGTGTAAACAAACTGAATACTATATGTAACCACTACTTTCCGGTCTTTTGAACAGAAATAGTGGTTTATCTCTTTGTTTCTTGTTTAGGATTGGGTTTCCAGTTCTTTCTAAAGTCTGCTCATTCACATTTTTCACAATCACAACAATCTTGACCTCATAGAGTCTAGAGTCAGCTAGCATCTTTCCTATATAGCCACAAGAACTTCACTTTTTGCACTTTCTTACACTCATACAACACCACAGAGTAGCAGTCTACCTTGAGCGGCTCTTGGGCCTTGTATTAACTGAACAAAAAAAAAAAAAAATTACATATAACATTAACAATGAAAAATTTAATAAATGCCAAAATAATGCAAATGTTCACTATTTTTCAAAAAGAGCCTGCTAATTATTATTATTTTTTTTTTATTTTTACAGTAAAGTTCATCCTATACAAGGCCCAGAGCCACTCAAGGTAGCTGGTTACGTTAAGGGGTAGTTTATATGGATAACTGTTAACTCTAGACTTGAACAGTTTAAGATTGCAGTGATTGGGGAAACATCCTCTTGTGAGTCTGTTCCACAGGGCAGTGGTTTGCGGGAAGAAGCTGTTTGAGTTGAACTTACTTCTCACTAATGGAATATGGAGGGAATGTGGGTGGTTTGCTACTATGTAAGTGGCATGGTGGGTCCTAGCCATGAAGGTTAGACCTGGCAGAACCAAAGAATGTAGTTCCTCTGAGCACTTTCCATGGAAATAGCAATAGAGCAGTGGAAGACTCACCACATTCTGCCTGTGAGAGAGAGTTGTTGGAGGATGGAAAATAATTTTGAACTCTATCAAAACTGAAAATTGAAGACCAAGCAGCTCCTGTTCAAATGTGACAATAGTACTCTATTTTTGGCCTTATCTGGATCTTATAAAGGTAGAACAATCCCAGAGTGAGAACCCTGTTAATCTAAATTGAGAAAATCAGAGTGAGGATTCCTTAGTAATGGAGAACATGTATTAGTTATTAAGTATGAGTTGGGATCAAATCTGGATTGGGATCTGACAGAATAAGATAAAGAATAAATAGGATACATTTAAAATCTAAATCTAATACGCTTCCACAGAGAATGAAATATGCAGCAAAGAAGATTTACTTTTGTGTTGTTTGATTTTCATTGGTCAGTCATGTTTCATTTTTTTAAATCAATGTTAGTATAATTTGTTGCATTCTGAATTCAAGTAGAGACAATGTGTCCATCAAAAGTTTCAAGAAAATTAATGGATTTCAATCCTACCTTGGAATCCATTAATTTCTTGAAACTTCAGATAGCCACTTCATCTCTCCTTGAATTGAATATGGCACATTGATAGCTGTTTAATAAATGCTAACCTATTACTAAACCGAGATAAATTGATCCACCTATTTAAATTGTCCAAATTACCTTTCTGAATATGGACTGGTATATGCTGATTAATCATTGCTTCTAACCTTTGACCTGTTTCAACTAAGCAGTCAGCATACTTTCTGGTAATGTAAACTTTTTTTTTTATTCTTTCTTGTAATACAACTGTTTTAATCCCAATTATTAAATTTATGGTCTGATAATAGATTTAAATATAAGTCAATCACTGAAAATGTAGATATTGGAATAAAAAGAAACTGTTTATTCATCATAAATAGCAGAGGATTGAAATAGTTAAACAGAATTTAGCAAACAAACCTCTTCAAGTCGAATTTGTTCTTTTTTCTTTTCTAACCGTTTCTTTTCTTCTATTTCTTGTCGAGCTCTATCTTCTTGGAGGCGCTTCTGCTTTTCCTCCTCAATCAGGCGTCGCTCTTCTGCAATCCTGCTTTCTTCTGCAATTCTCAATTCTTCACTTTTGGTTGCTTCCATTTGATATTCATCTTCACTTCTGGTATTCAAGCTGCTCTCTGCAGAGTTTACAAATAATTTCATTATTTTTTTTCTTTTTAAACTGAGCTTACATTTTAAATATTCATTACTAAAATATTTTAATTTCTAATTAGAAATAGAATCAGATATACTGAAAACTGGATAGAAAAACAAAAACTGTAGATGATGGATGAATATGATACAAATAAATTAAGACATTAACATAATGAGATTATATGTATACAAAAGAGCTTTTACAAAACACGCTCATTGCAATAGTCATACATCATAATGAATTTGATCATAATTTTGGTTTAAGAAATGCTACTCAACTTAAAAGAGAAAGTAATTTACTAAGGCAAAAAAGTATAGAAAGTGCATTGATTTCTGAACCATCTACAATAAATTTGTATTCAGGTTCTTACAACATTTAACCTTTCTTAAAAAATCTTTGTTTGTCACAATGTGACATATTTAAAAACATCAGCGATATAAACAAAAGCATTGAGAAACCAAATGATATCGACTCAGCTGGGCATCTAGATACATCGGATGCCACAAGGTTTGTAAATTTAAAATTTAGTGTTCCTATATCGTCAGTGTTTCTTCTCAGTGTATAATTATTACCAATATTTATATCACCCCCTCCTTACATATAATTCCACCAATAAGAAAATTATAGCAACTTTGGACCATTGTGCCCACAAAAAACTGAGCGTCAAAAGGACAGTTTCTCTCTTGATGCCACTATTTTTTTTTTTTTTTTAATTACTTTCAATCCTCAGGAATGTTTGTTTTAAAAAGCAAGAATTGTAATAAAACAAACATATGAAAGTGAATTTATACATTTTCTTTGTTCTTGAGAATTTACAACAAAAATAATAAAAACTATTAATTAGATTGTTTATTTACACTATTAGATTGTTTATTGGACTGGTTGCCAAAACATCGGCTAATCACCAACTGGTTTAAACTTTATAAAATTGTAAATAAGAATTTCCTTATACTTGGTTCAACTATTTTAGTACTTTAGTATATGTTTATAAATTTATGAATAAAATTTTTTTTCATATTTATTTCTTTATAAATTGGTGAAATTTGCAAATTAATAAATACTGCATTGCATTAGTTTTAATACAATTGTATTAGTTTTAGAATGTCGTACATATAAAATTATTCTTGTAAATAGACATTTTAATAAACAGAGTTGAATATTTTTGTTTTAAATTCTCAAGAACAAAAAATGTAAAAATTCACTTTCATCATGTTTGGATTTTATTATAATTCTAATCATAGTTTTTTTAAATTTAAAAAGACAAAATTTAAAAAAAAAAAAAGACAGGATTTTTTTTTTTTATTTAAAAAAGATAATTTAAAAAAAGAAAAATAGACAAAAAAAAAAATAAAGAGACAGAATTTGAGTGTACTAGCTGTGTTCCAAAAACTATTGATCACAATAGATTATGCATTCTCTCACAGAAATTTGCAGTATAAACCACAAGTGGATTCTGTGGAAAACACAAATGTGCCTGAGCAGGCATCTGTAACAGGGACTGGCTAATCACCCAAATAGACGGTTGTGCTTGGAAAACAAGTAGCTGGCTGTTTATATATCTGTAAGACTTCATTAATAAAACCATTATTAGCCTGAAGTCCTTTTGAAGGAGAGAAGGTGTAACATTTTCTATTTTGTCATTCAGTTAATCACTTTTAGTTTGATATATAGATTTGTATCATTACTTTCAAATAGAAAAAAGAAATTCTTATTACCAGTACTAAAGGTAATCTGGCTTTTCAATTCATTCTCAACAGGTTTTTTGTTCAGGTCAACATGAAAGGTATATTCTGGAAGTTGATTGCTACTGAAAGATTGAACATTAAGATATTAAAAAAAACAAAAAAACATCCATGGTATCCAAATTTAAAATCAGGTAATTTTTTTAAATAATCAACAACAACTGGTGTTAATACTTACAATAAAAATGTTACCTATGTATTTGTAAGTCTGTTTGTATATCATCTCCAAGTTGTAATTTCAAGTCCATTTTTGTCCTATCAATGCATTAGCCTGTCTCAGATAAATGTCTAGAAAACTGAATTTCTTTAAAAATACAAAGTCTTTTAATTTTACTATTGGTAAATGCTAGTACTAATTTCAGGTACTCAACAAAAATGAATTAGTGAATTTCAAAAGGATCAAACTTCATTTTTCAGATCAAGTAAATATTGGCCCCATATAAAACAAGCTAGCAGGTTGATGAAAGTGAAAATCAGAATGGCAAAAATTGGGGATAATGCCACTAAGATGCAAGGAGCAACTATGATTTAAAAAGAATTAAAGACTTTAGAAGGAACATTAAATTCAATCTTAAACAGAGAATAAGGGATGAAACTCTACTTCTGTTCAAAAGACCAGGGAGGAGTGTGAACCAGACAATAGGCAAACCTATTGATTCCTATTGAGGAGAATAAATAAAAACATAAAATAAAACAATAAATAAATAATTAGTAAATAAAATTTCAGAGTTTAGGCATAGACATTAGAAGTATAGAGTCAAAGTAGACTTTAGAAGGAACCAGAAATCCAATCCTCAATGGGGAATAAGGGATAAAACTACTCCTGTTCAAAAAACTGGCAGGTGTGGAAACCGGGCTATAAACAAACCTATCTACTCCTATTAAATGAATTGGATTTACAGTAGAGTCTCATCTAAGTGATTTCTTAATAATATCAAACTGGAAAGATGATCCTAGGATGCAGCACTGTCTGGAAACCTTACTTTAGGTTAATTCAAGCCTTTTTTTTTTTTTCTTTCTCTTGGTTTTCATTTTATTTTTCTCTGGTTTTCTAACCTCCTACATTTTCTCTTTCATACCCTTTTATTACTCCACTTCATCATTTTCCAAAATTCTTTCCTTCTTAATATTATGTAGGTTTCTCCACCAGAAAATGAATCTGATTCAAGCTTACTAAGCCTAGAAATTAGGTAGATACTACACAACAATTGCATAAATAAGCAGTATCAAATCATATAATAATTATCAATGTGTATTTATTTATATATTACCTGTCCAATCTGTAGTGAGAAGGGAGGTAAATCAATTTAACTTAGTAAATTTGTGAGTGATTACTTTCCTAGTAGTTTTAATAATCTATACAAACAAAATATTTATCTATATTTACACAAAATTAGCTCCTGAGAAAAATCTATCATTTAATTAATCAGTTTCTTTACTCCTATGTTTCTTAGATTGCAGTTTTATTTGTTCAAGCCTTTTATGTGAGACACTCATATTGTTTATTAAATGGTAATTTTGCTTCAACTTAGGCTTTGTCATTGGTGTCTTTGTCATTCTCTTGTTAATCTTATTCTCCTGAGAGATATTTCTATTTCACTGTTATATTAAACACACAAAAAGTTTTACATGAAACAATTTTGAGCAAAAAGTGATTTATATAAGACCAGGAGAAATCAATGAATCATAGATACCATTAAACATCTACAAAATTTAAAGGGAACAGATTAATTAAATGGTTCATTGGCCTCTGTTTTAATTGTGAATTCTTTATTTAATCTCAATACATTGTTTCAAGACTTTTGTTTCATTGTATCTCACTATTAAAACTTTCTAGTAATTGTAATCATTTTTGACAGCATGGATACATTAATAATAGTATAGATTCTATGATTTGTCTTCAATATTTAAAAAAGGAAAGGATTAAAGAATAACATTAATGTGAGAGTAAAAAGATACTCACCCATTTTGTGGCTGTTGTTGCATCATCTGTTGATTGTTGAGGTCAATTTGTAGGAGAGAGTCTGAATTATTTTGTGTAGGGATTTGTATGACCAAAGGAGATGACTTTACATCTATGTGGCTGGAGGACACTTCTGTCTGCTGAGGAGGTGCTGGTGGAACTTGTCTGCTGTTGACAACACTTGTTTTAGTCACCTAAAAATAATTCATACATATGTACATATAAGACATGATAACAAACTATCATGTGAAAATGCAAAGATGTAATATTTGAAAATGATGAAATTGACAAAAAAAAAATAAATAAATAAAATCCTTTGATAATGTTTTATGAAAAAAGTACTCGGACATTGTTACAATATTAACTGAAATATAGAAAAAAAATTAAAAAAGACAATCTGAAAAAGATTTTTTTGGTCTTTAACCAAACTAGTAAAAAATGGAATTCTGTGTGTGTAAAAGAAAATTGTTTTTTTCCAAAATTTAAAATTCCCAGTTGCATCAATGTAAACAAACCTAGTTCAGTGAAGTCCTAAGGGATGAAACAAGTCACATGAAAACTTTATCCACTTTGTCATATTATATATATATATATATATATATAATAAATTAATTGATTTAAAATGTTTTTTTTTGCTACACAGTTTTAACCATGTTTCAAAAATGGAAGAAAAAAACATATTTTAAATCAATTAATTTATAATATTAATGCTCTGTAAGTTTACATTGATCACTATTTTGTAAAAATAAAAATATCTATAAGAACACCGGATTATATATCTTGCTGTTCTTTCTTTTTTTATATATATATATATATATATATATATATATATATATGGTCAACAACAAATAGACATTAGGGATCCTTTACTGATAATGATCAATTATACTTACACACTAAATTCTGTCACACAAATACTTTAATAATTAAACTTTATTCTATACACATAACCTTATTAACTACTCATGAAAAATTGTTACAAATTTGTATATTTTTGTTGACTAAAAAAAAAAAAAAAATGCCCATTTTCTGTTTCTTATATTAAGTCTCTTTCAGTACAATCATTAAAATGGTAAACAGAAGCATACATTTATTGATTTCTCTTATCCAGTCCTGGTTATTTTCAGACTGGCTATTACAATAGTATAGTGATGTACATCTATCTCTTGTTGAATTCAATCTCTGTTTAGTTCCAGTACTTACCAACCAAAGAATATTGGCATGATAAAAAAGAATCAGCTTTTTTAT